CTTTTGTCGTGTGAGCTTTGGTCTAGTGAACTTTTGTCGTGTGAGCTTTGGTCTTTTGAACTTTGGTCTAGTGAACTTTGGTCATGTGAACTTTGGTCATGTGAGCTTTGGTCGTGAACTTTTGTCGTGTGAGATTTGGTGTTGTTAGTTTTGGTCTGTATACAATGTCATACCTCACCTTCACTCTTATTATTTCACTGTTTGGGTTTAATCACGATGATTAAAAAGCAACACTTACAACAATTCACCAATTTCTCTGTCTGGCAACTCCCTCTGACACTGCACTACAGCATATCCATGTAAACATGTTATTTTGGTTTATTTTCTTTACCAAACACAAATGTTTCCACAGATTGTTCTCATGCAGTTTGGTGTCATCTAATTATCTCATATCAATGTGAAGAAATGGCACCAAAACAGTTGATTAAATTTGCTGCAGCTTTCTGGAGCTTCCTGCAGGCTCTGATGAATGTTGGATGGAGTCGTGCTTCACTTGTTTGTGTCAGCTGGTTTGAGCAAAGTTAAAGTTTCATGATTGTGCTCTGGTGCTAAAAGAGGACGTCTGTTTCACAGTCTTCACTGCTCCTCCTCTGTTGTCTCTGAGGCCAACAGAAACCAAACCAACAGATAAAAGCGGTGGCCAGAAACAAAAGCAGACACCTTCCTTCCTTTGCCCCTAAATCATTTATCTGTTTTGATTTAGGAGAAATGATTTTCTGTAATGAAACAGACAGAAGATGATTCTTTATTCATCTCGGGACAAATCGGGCCAGGGACCTTCTCTTCATCGTAGACGGCTTGTATAAACACCGCCAATGAGTTCCAAGTTTTCCCATTACCCCCTCACACCCTCATCATCGTCTCCACGCTGGAACGGGCCCGCTCCGACCGACAGTCCATCTAATGAAGGTCTGTAAATTCATCTCACAGCGCCTCCAAGAACCTCGCAGAGAATCTTTCAGTAACTATCTCCTCCTTAATCAATTTACAGGTCGTGAGCTGCGGGCTCAGCTCTGTGATTATTGTTACGGCGAGGCGGGCGCGCTCATTGCCTGCTTGTCTAACCTCACTAACACCCCCGGAGCAGGCAGCCAGATTGAACGATAAAGTCATCTCTGCAAACCCGTCCTGATTTAGAGCCCCTCGTAAAATTGATACTTATTTTTCTCTTCTGCGCCGCTCACTGAAGTGCAATATCATAAACTGCATCTCCTCCTCTACTTTTTTTCTTTTTTCATTTTGGAGATTTAAAGCTGCGGGTCACGGGGGTCGCTGAGCAGGGCTCTCAGCTTTGGTGATCATCAAGCCTTTATGGTCTGGATCTCTGCTCGGTTAAAGGGAAGAGAAATGACTGACAAGTCAGTCCTGAGGATCTGTCGGAGCGGGAAAATAAAACAGTGAAGGATGCATGAAGTGGCTTCTCTGAGCGCTTCAATGGGTTTTATGTCTGGATCTTTAGAGGCCGGGTTCTGAGGAAAAGATTATGTTGGAACCTCAGTTTGGAGAAACCATTTTTTTTTTTAATCTGGCAACTTTCCATTTTTTTACACAATCAGTCTGTATTATACAGTTATTTCCACTGATTTCTGGGGTTTTTGGAAGCATGTATAACAGCAGCAGCTAGCTGTAGCACTTTGACTCCACCTGGGACCTGCTGGAACATCAACAAGCTCAAAGTTTTATTTTTTTGTGGAAAATTATGTTCATTAATTTAAAAAAGTGCTATAAACGTGTTTATGGTAAAAAAAAATTCCTAAAGTGTAAATTTAACGAATATTTAGTAAAAATAAATATGTAAAACATACTACAGTACTTTGTCAGATTTTAGATCAGCAGTAATACGAGCTACTGAAATATCACAGTTAAAATATATTTACAATGTATGACACTAGCTGCGTTTCCATTGACCATGAAAATGCGCAAATTAGAATTTCGAAAATAAATTTGCTCAATGGAAACACGTCAATTTAAAAAAAAATTACGTTTTTCGACTAAAAGTGTTTGCGCTAAGATGAGGTGGTTTTTCGGCTGTATCGAAATTGGTGTTTTTCGCAAAACTGCAATGGAAATACTTTTTTCGCATCACGGGAGTCACCTGATCAACAACCGGCTGTTTCTACTGGTGAAAAAGAC